AGGGATCCAGGGGGGTGGCAGGGATCCAGAGGGTGACAGGGATCCAGGGGGGTGACAAGGATCCAGAGGGGTGACAAGGATCCAGGGGGGTGGCAGGGATCCAGGGGGGTGACAAGGATCCAGAGGGGTGACAAGGATCCAGGGGGGTGGCAGGGATCCAGGGGGGTGACAAGGATCCAGAGGGGTGACAAGGATCCAGGGGGGTGGCAGGGATCCAGGGGGGTGACAAGGATCCAGAGGGATGACAGGGATCCAGGGGGACTACAAGCAGCAGGAAGCACCAGGCTGCAGAAAGCCCAAGGTGGGCACAAGCCACCGAGGCCAGGCCAGGATCACCCATCTCCAATGATGCTTTGAGGGATGAGAAACCCCCGGGCAGGAGGGGGTGATGGGGAAGTTCCCTCCCCGCTCCAGCTGGGGCAGCCGAGGCCGTTCCCGAACATCCCGAACATCCCGAAGCGGAGCCAAGAGCCCGGGCCCTGCTCTCCTGCCCCGGGCCGGGCACCCCGGCACTGATCCTGTGGTTGGTGGCTGTTTGTCCCCCCCGGGATGTCACCTCCTCGGGATGTCCCCTCCTCAGAGGCAGCTCCAGCGTCGCTCCTGCCTTTCCCACCCGGTTTCTCAGAGGTTGCCTGAGGCAAAACCAAGGATTTCACCCCAAAACACGTGAAGGGAGGAGTCTGGCAGTGTCACAGGGAGGGGACAGTCCTGGCTGCAGCTCCTCTGTCCTGCTCTGAATCCCTCCCTGCGGAGATGGATGAGGAGGGGGCAGGAGGAGCCCCCCAGGGCCTGGGACCAGTTCCCTCTGCCTTCCCAGAGCCTCCAGTTTGGACTCAAACCCCAAGAGGAAACCTCAGGGCCAGGTTTCTCTCTAGTGCTTCACCCCCCCCAGAGCTGGAGCCTGTCCCACTGCTGCCACGGGTGGGACATCCCTTGTGCCCCCAGCAGCCCAGGGAACACACCGGGATGAGTCACCCCTGGAGCATCTTCCTGCAGGAAACTGGTCCAGGCTCTAGAACTGGAATGAGATGACCTTTAAAGTCCCTTCCAACCCAAACCAGTCTGGGATCTCAGCTCATCAGCAGGGGCTGATGTTCATCCAGAGCCAGGGGGATCCTTTGGGAACTCCCAGGAGCACCAAGCCCCCCGTGATCCCTCTCCTGGAGGTTTTATTGGGGGGGGGGATGTTCAACCCTCCAGCCCCAAAACTCCTGGGAGGAGGGGGAGGGACCATCACCCCAGCAGGGTGACAAGCCCTTGAGCAAGACCCAGCAACCCCCTAAACCCTGAACTTCTTCTGCAAGGAATTTCTAACCCTTGCGTGGCACGAGCCTCATCCACACACACCCCCCCCCCCAGTTACGCTGCACCA